TGTGTGTATCTTACAGTGGGTCGAGAAAACTGGTGTCTCTAAACATGCATGTGTGAGTGAATGAACGTGTGTGTATCTTACAGTGGGTCGAGAAAACTGGTGTCTCTAAACATGCATGCGTGAGTGAATGAACATGTGTGTGTCTTACAATGGACTGGCGTCCCATCTCGAGTGTCATCCCACTGCACCCAATGCCTTCTAGGGTGGACTCAGGCTTCCTGGGACTTTTTAAGGGTAAAGCATTAACTGTGAAAATGGATGTCTGGATTTCAGTACTAATACATACATTCATTCAGTACCAGTTCTTGTGCTTACATCTGTTGTTTTCTAGTAGTAAAGTATAAGGTTGTAACGCTGTCGATGTGCATCTGCTGTTTGCTGACCGTACTCTCTCACACTGCTTTTGCTCCCTTGTCTCCTGTGGATGTAATCTGCAGGAGTTGATTGACACCTGGAATGTAAACAAGCCACCGTATTAACAAGGTCACAGCGTGCTGCCGATGCGTTCTTGCTCCGTTTTGGCCCTTTTCCCCTCTGTCTAGTGCGAAACAGCATTTAAGCACTATGGAAGCAAACTGCAAGGCATGAACATTGCTGGAGGCCCACATATTTCATTTCCCATCGCTGTACAGGCTCTGATCTTGTCACCGGTTATCACAGCTTCTGTCATAATACTGCTTACCGCCTGTAATTGTGTGTTTCACAGTGGTTTAAAGATCTTGATTGCCTTCAATTTGAAGTGACAGGTCAAATACTAGTTTTCAGGCTTCTGTGTATCTGCTTCATGAGTTACAGCAAAGGTGTACTTTCCCCTGATGGAGAAAATAGTCAGGAAGGAAGTTAATGTGTATTATGTAGACATATGTGTCACTCATCAATTATTAGCAAGTGATTATTTTTGGAGCTACTGCTGCACATTTTGTGAAGGAAGTCAACAGTGCTGTGTGATTGGCACCCATCGTTTTTTTATAACATGCAAGAATTGTTGATGGGCTTCATGAACCCAGTATGTGGTGTTCAATATCTGTTTGAAAAAGGATTATTTTAAATATATGAACATCTTTCTACGTACAACTATGGATTTTTTTCCAACACAAGATATGCACTGCCTGAATGATGATTAAAGACTGTGAGAAATCTGTTGTGTGGTTGACTTGTGTATTTCTTTTGTTTTCAGTCATGGAAGATCTTGATGTTTTGCTTTTTTAACTTAATCTGCACTGGATGTCTCCTGATGTGGTGTAGTTCTACCAATAGCATGGGTAAGTGACTATTGAGCTACAGTATTCTAGGACATATATCTTAATGCTTTTATTTAGCTGTATTATACTGTATATTTTCCCCACAGCTTTATGAATGTTTGCAAAAATAAAATTATTGCCTTTCAGCATTTATATATGTTTAGCAGATGGCCTAATGCAGGGTATGTTGCAGTTACATCCACTTAATAAGCAGATTAATGAAACAGTTATTAAAATAATGCAAAGAAAAGAAATCACAAAGTTTCGTTATAACTGCCTATCAGTAATACTGTGCAGAGGCTTCCAGAGAGGCCCCCCAACACCCAAGAGAACTCACCCAAGCATAAGCTGAGTTCTCCTGAATCCAGGTGTTGCGGGTTCGAGCCTGGGCCGAGTCACTATGAGTGAAGTTCCCCGAGCAGCTGCACACAGCTGGCTGAGCAGTAAAGGGAGGCTGGGGAGAGTCGGCCAGGGTTCCCTTGGCTCTGGATGCTGGACTCCAGGCACGCGGAGCTGTCGGTGAGCGTTGCCTGGGATATGTTAAAGACGAGCGGCTCAGGGGAGTCCGTCCGCACTTCCCCGTTCTCCCCTGTGTGCGGCCGTGGGTTCGAGGCCTGCAGCCGGGACTCGTGTGGAATTGGCAATTCCAAAGTTGGGTGGGTATAGCAAAAAAAAAAAGCTGATTAGAAATGTGAAAAAAGATATAGATAATAGATTAATATTGTAACAGAGCTGATCATTAAAGAGATAAAATGCAGGCACCTGGCAGTGATGTACTTACAATGGAAGTCTATAGAAGGAGTAATAGGACATCATTACATTATAGGTACTTTCTACTCCCACTGTATATGCAGATATACTGTAGTGTATTCAGTATAAATAGGATACAGAGTGTATTGGGCATTGATTACAAGCAGTGCATCAGATAAGGGGATCTGCAGTACACGGTGGCTTTGGTGTACTCCTTAGCAAGCGATGGCTGAAAAAGGGAATTGCAGTAGTGGCTAAGCAGGTGTAGAAATAGGTGAGTCTTTTTCATAGAGGGCAAAAATCTTGTACACTATGTGTGCATTTAAAGGGGAGACTTTCAGCTACTTTTGTTGTTGGCAAATGTTTGAATTTTAATGTAGGCACAAAGCGTGGGGTTGTTTTGATAGATCAGCCATAAAACCCTTAAAACTCAAATTTTCTTTAAATCATTGCCCTTGAAAACTGATCACAAAGGGTATGCAGTGATATCTCTATGATTACCTTCCCCAGAAAATGCAAATAGCACTGTAAGCTGTTTTTTGTCATTGATGGGGAAAACAATGCCAAGCCTATATGGATCAGAAGAAATTGTATGTGAGCACCCACTAGTGGTCAGGATGACAAAGAAAATCGAGAACACCGCACCAAAGTGATTCATAAAGAATTCGAATGTTCTATTTCAAAGAGTTGACATATTTTCTTTGAAGTTCAACAAAGCATGCAATAAAGGTCAAACATCTATGATCGTTTCCCAGGGGTACTTTCTTGTAGGAGTTGTAGTAGAATAACCTTTCCCACATTGTAATTCTGATAAGAAAATAATTGATAACATTAAGAGTGGCCCATGTGCTGCATTGCTCTTTTATCATGTTTTGTGTGACTGTGGTGTAGGTGTATACCTCTACTTATTTTAAATCCTCATTCGTTCCTTTGACCTGTCTGGCTCAGTTGTTTCATAAATTGTGTCCAGGGACTTGAGGCTGGTTGTGATTGGAGGTTTCAAGCTGAAAGTCAAAGCAGGATGAAAGGAGTGAAGTCATAGGACATGCATCTGTTTGTGCATAAGCATTTTAGCAGGTTTATAAACATTGCATGTTTTTAAAAAGGACAGAATTAGCTTTAAGAGTTGACGTGACTGATATTGTACCTCAGGTGCTTGTGTTGCCTGAATCTAAAATAGATGAGTCTACAGGAACTTGTTTGTTATTGTCAGCTCCGTAAGATCAAATTTTGCATCGATAGGTTATATTAAGTTACAGGCAGATAAAAATGGGCACAGTTTAACCCAATATGAGGGTTTTTGTCAACATGTTCTCTAATTGACATCAATGCGTATCTCAGTCCTTGTCCTTAAGCTTTCTCATAGCACACAAAAATGCAGCCAGTGGCTTGTCATCTTGCAGTGAAGAGTTGTTGATGCTTTTCTAACAGTTTTCTTGTTCTAGATTGCATGACCTACAATGTAAAGGCCAAACCTGTGAGAGCAGTTTGCTTAAATAGATTGTTGAGAAAGCTGGCCTGATCTTGATTTGCAGAAATTCCAATAATCAACTGTAGATAATGCTTGATTTATCTATTGTACATACATCCAGAGGGTATTCAGTGGAGGTGCTTTTTTCCTCAGTGAAGAATGAACTCTGCAGCCTGTAAGTGCCTGGTTCCTGTTCAAGCCCTGCAGCTTGACCACAGACTCCTATACCAGTGGTATAACGGAGGGACATTTAGCTATCAAAACATTGGTTAACATTGCGCGACATTGTCTCCTCAACAGGGTTTTTTGCCAACGCCGGTGAAAATGGAGTAACTTGGGTCTAGTCACTGACTAGATCGGTCATGTCCTGAGCGGTGTTATACCAAGCCAGGTAGAGTTGGGGCTGGGTGACGAGGTTGACTAGGGCTCGCTCAGCTCCCAGTAAAACAGGCACACCTGGGGCTTTTCAGGCACATGCAGGCTGGCAGGGATAGCAGTGAGGCATGCGCCTGTCCTCCAGTGGTTGCTGGACCTCCTGTACATGGACACAGAGCTTGGAGCTGTGTCAAAAGAAGTGAACAGCATGATGGGTGGGGTGGCTGGAGGAGCCTCATTTTCACCTCGTCAGTGTAGGGGTCCTCGCTTGGGCTGAGCCGTAAGGACTCTTTGGGTGGTTTTATAATAAAAACAAATTGGGTGATTCGTAGATTTAAATCAAAAGCACCCACCTGAGTATTAGATCGTGACCAGTGCATGTTGTGGGTGGCAATAAAAGTCATTAGCTGCTGTCCTGCCCTGTACCTGTAATTACAAGCTACATGCATGCATGCATCTGTTGTCGCAGTTTGCTGTCACAGAAATCTAATCAGAAATACTTTACGCTCGTATTCATGTGCAACACTTGGCGGAAGGAGAGTTTGGTGAGCTCCTTCTGAGCCCAGCCCTGGCTCAGCACTGCTGGGGTAAAGAATAGATCGCTAATTACCCCTAGTCCCCTTGGTGTAATGGCAGAAATGGATGACATCACAGTCTGTGAGCTAGCAGCTAGGACTGTAATACAGTACTCTACAGAAGAAAACCAGCAGTTTGACTTCCCCACCTCTCAGAAGACTCATTTCTTCTAAGTCGTTGCAGATTTATAGTGATCACTTGGGTTGAACAGCAATTATAAACCTGAAGAGAAAATGTAACTGTAAGGTTACTTTTTTCTCAAGCTCAAGCTTGTCTTGGTTGGGCATCATTTTCTTGTTTAAAACCTTAACTCAGTATCACATTTTGAATGTAAACAAATCCGTTTTTTTTTTTAAGTCAAGTTTATTGAGCTGCTGTGTAATACAGCTGGAAACATTCTTAAATGTAAATCTGTCTAAGTAGGCTTGGGTGCGTTTGTGTCCAAAAGTGTTGTCTAGGCGGTGTGTTCTGTTTTGGGCAGCTTGTGCCCACTATTCTGTTTAACACAGCCAATCTGCCTGATCAGGCTACATGATGGGAAAAGATAGGATGTTTTGAGCATCAGACACTGAAGTTGGCTTGTGTACTGCAGTTTTGTGTTTTGCTGCCCCAGGCTACTGATATATTGTACATTTAATGTACTGGAAAAGGCTTCTGTTTTGCCTTAATCTCTGCTAGTGCCCTTTACTTACAGGCAAACATCTGATTGCAATGTTGAGCTGTCCAGATCAGAACATTAATGGAGTTCCCTCTAGGAGAGAGGAAAACATTCCATTGACGTGCTCTGCTTTACGCTATCAGGTGATCTCCAGAGCACTGCGAAAGGACATTTTGTTATGACTGGCTTCTGTGTGGCATATAGCCCCCATCCCTGCTCCTGTCTTTCCTTATACACGCTTTCATCTGATCGCACACAATGTGAGTTCTGTGATTACACAGAAATCACAGAGAGCTGAGAGTCAAAAAAAAAAACTGCTGTCTTGATTTTAGGTGTCATTTATTTACACAAACACTTTAATGAGCGCGCTTTGTTTTTAAAAACAAACAGACACCAAATCCTTACAGAACAACAACAACACCCCCAAACACTTGTCTCGTTAAACGTCTGCTCGTGTTTGTTTTGCGTCCGAGCGGCAGGCGGCTGCACCGAGAGGCATTGTCTCAGTTCCAGCGTGTTCCAGTGTCGGCTCGATTCGTACAGCTGGGGGCAGCCAAGCGAAAGGAGGTCAAGTGCCTGCCCTCCGGGGGCAGCAGCATGACTCACAGCCTGAGCGCGGGCTTTAACCCTGCCTCTGCCCGGCCCCAGCTCCCTCAGCTCCTCCAGCTCCGGCCCCTGTCCGGCTCTTGTCGCGCTGGTCAGCTTGGGGCTGAGGCCGGGGACTGGGCCGCTCATCTCTCAGTGTGCTCTCCCCGACGCCACTGGGGAATAACCTGGCCCGTGTTTCTGAGACAGCACCGGAGACGACTCCAAGGGCATGCGAGTGGCGGATTTGGTTTCTTAGAACAAAATGTAACGGTGGGTTCAGCCATCTCATTTGCTGAAATTCTGTGCTGTTTTCGAAAAAAGCTTCTCTACACGCTTGTGGACACGTGGTTCTTCCACAGCAGAATGCCACTTCTCTGTTGCTAAACCACGTGCTAGATTTGTCATAATTTTCAGAGAGTCCTCAAAGATCCTTCTACAACAGGGCTGTGATTGCCATTAAACTTTGTTCACCTGGATGGGCTGTTAAGACATTTAATTGCACTATACGCCCCTTACAGCACTGGCAAAATAATGGCTTCCACTTAAACACTGGAGCACTAAACATTATTTCCATCCTCTGAATTACTTCTGGCGAATGTGTAT